CTTATAATGCAGAGTATCGAACATCTGATTCTGATATATACCAAGTAAAGGATAACTGTTCTTCTATACCCTAAAACAAATTATAATCATGAAGACACCCTGCATTTGATATAACTGACAATACTTCAAATTCTAATATATGTCAAGAGACAAAGACTTAGCTGGAGGCTGGTTTATGTCAATGCTCTACATCACCAATTCATATAGAAAACAAAATTTCAAAGAATAAAGTAATCGATGAATTTCTAGACGTAAAAGAAAAGGAAAGGGTTAGTAATATAATAAGAGAGAAAAATAGAGAAAAGAAGCTTGGATCTCAAGATTATTTATCATATAATAAAGATATTTCACAATCTAGTAAAAATAAAGTACAAAAATTTATAGCAGAAGTTTTTAAAAACTCTAGCTCATCTATTATTAATAGTAATGTAGACAATGATATGATACCTACAACTCTGAATGAAACAGAATCTCAATGCAGCAATAATAGCTTCATATTTTTATATGAAAAACTTTGTAATGCTATAATTCTCACTAACTATAAAACCCAAGAAGCAATCTTATGTTATTGTAATTTTGGTAAAACTCTCATTCAAAGATGTAATGAATTAGTATCAGAAAAACAAGTTGATCTGGAATATAATGCAGTTAGTAGAATTTTAAATAAAGAAGTTTGTGTTTAGCTCCCTGCAAATATCTCTGATGCACTTTTATAAAAGAGAATCGAAAAGGCTAAAAAGCTCTACAAACTTTTCAGTGCAATAGGTATAGATAAAATTTATCAAATACATTCTTTTTCTGCTAATAGTATCTCAAAAATAACAAACAAAGATATTCAATATATTATAGATAATATACTATTTGATTATAGTATTAAGATAGAACCCACCCTAAAATCCAAATTCTCTGAACCGAGTTTAGGAAATGATCAGCAAATTTCTTGCAAAAAAGAAAATAAAGATTCAGAATTTTCCAAATCATTATTCTTAATGTATCTCGTTCTACCTTTTTTTCTGCTAAATATTCAAAACATCTTATCCCCCCAAGTAAGAGACTAATAATCATATTTGTTTTTTCAGATCTAGCTTGCCCACTGACTAGTAAATTAAAAGACTACTGAGGATATGAGTTAAGATCATTGAATCTTTTCAGCTTTTTGTACTCATCAATATTAAGTATGAATATTTCACACGGATCGAGTTTTTCTACTTTTATTCTGGTTAAAATAAGCAATACTAATTATTATATCAAAAAATAATGATCTTTATTGTTATATATATATATCTACCTAATTTTTTATTCTATATAATTTCTAGTCTGATAAATGTGATATAGCAAATCACTTAAGGCTCTCTAATATTTGTGAATTTATTCTTCATATAATAAATAACCTTTCTTTTGCAATTTGCTTTTTATTTATAGTAATATATTAGTATTATATGGTATTAAAATAAGATCTATGCCTTCTCTTGCTTTTTCTAATTTTCATTTTTTGTTATTCTAGATCATATTGCCTATGCTTATGAAACAATGGATTTTGATAAAAATATTGAATATCTTGATACTCCCATGCTAAGTGCAATTTCTCATTATATCCATCTAAATGCAAGCCTTCTAGAAATTTATCTGAACAAGGTGGAACTTGCAGTATATCCAAAAGTAGAATATTATAAAAAAAGAGATAAAAAAAATTGTACTTTTAGATACTACCAAGTGAGATAACAATTCGGCACTACATGCCTCATCATCGGGTAGAAAATATGTATTAAAGTGTTTACACAATCAAATTTTTAGATTTATTTTGTAGTAATAGCTCATGTTATCTGATCGAGGTATAGCTTAGTCTACTTTTTTACTCAAAATAGTACTCACATTAAAAATCTTTAGTAATCCAGCACATGGTATAACTTTTCTATAATAATTTTACTTTGATAATTCAAGCTTTTTAAGCATAAGTTATCTCTACTAATACTATTTAAAACATATCACATATTTATGATAATAAAAGCAAGAGTAAATTATTACCATAAATTATATTAAAGATTGATGACTAAGCATTTTACAAAGGGGTCAGTAGATAGAATGTTTTTTTTTTATGTTTATCAGATGAAAAATTTTCTAAAAACTCTGGAAAAAAAATTAGAAAAAATTTGTATTATGGAAAATTATAATCTTTCCTATTCTATAATAGAATTAAGAATCTATATGTACTCTATTTCAGAATGCTAGCATTTTATTCAAAATAGTACTCATACTGGTGAAGACAGAGTTGGTTAATAAATAATAAAGATCAAATTTTTTCATGAGCTACTCATTCTTTATCAATATCAAGTTAAGAACAAATGATGATGAAAAAATGAATAAATCATAATTTCTGAAAAAAAGTAAAAATTAAGAGTTCTTAGTAATTTTAAAATTCATGTCTCACTCTTAGGCGATATTTGAATGAATTATACAATGCTAATAGCAGTTAGATGACATAAGGATAAATTCATCATCATAAATTAGAGCTGTTTTATTTTTGGGAATATTCTGAAGAAAATTCTGCGAATGGCAATAAAAATGTGAGTAAAGTGCCAAAATAGAATTCATAACCTGGCTTTATATAATGTATTTGAATATTGATTAAGAATGAGGTACAAAAAATATAACATGCTGGCATAAATTCATTGCTATTCGAGTGGGAATGCGATTTCTATTATATCACTGATGTCACAAGTAGAAATTAATTGTTATTAGGAAAAATTATAACTCTGCGAATCGATACTCTAATACATATAAATAATGTTGAAAACATAAGTAAATTACCATCATTTGTAGGGCTGATACTAATGTTATGTAAAAGTAAATTTTTATAATTAGAAAAATAAATTATAGATTATAATTCAGAAATAATAAAAATTTGCGAATGGGATGAGAACATGAATGAATCGCCATATGAGTGGTAACAAAAACATGAGTAAATTGCTATTGATCAAATTTTTGAAAAATCTTTTAAGTAGAAGGTCTAAAACAAATACAAAGTATAACTATTACTGCTATCTTTCTTATTTGTCATATAAAACCATTGTAACTAAAACAGAATAATACTAGAAAATGCTATACTAGCCTGAAATAGAGAGAGATTATTGCCCAAGTATCTTGAAAGTTATAAAAGAAAGTTATCTTTTTTCTAATAAATAGACAATAATTGACTGTTATATATCTGGCAAAAAATTATAACCTATGGCCCATAAAGAAAGCATGCTCGGTTAATGAAATATAACTTTATTGTAACTCATCAATCAACTGATAATGATTATTCTTGATAAGTTTTTTATTCTCATTGCTACTTATAAGATATCTAGTGACTAGAATATTTCCCATGAGAGAATACATATAAAGGTTATAGATGTTTGTGATATACTAGCTGTTATAAAAATTAGCATATTTTGTTAGAGCCTGAAATTTAATATTAGAGCATGTAGATATATTTAGAAATTGTTCTCTTGAGCAACATCTTGATTGTAATTTTCATTTCACTCACTCCACAGGCTGTATAAAAATTATAATATCATTGAAGGAACAATCTTCAGCAATATTAATCTTATAATCTTAAAAATCTCTTGTCAAATTTGAATCTAGATTGAAAGAAAATATCAATAATGCGGATTGAAACAAGAGTTATATATAGGTTCAGATTCGCTTTTATGTTAGCCCAAGACAAGTCTTAAATTTTTAAAAGACCTTTTTAATCATAGATTATGTAAAGTGGAATAAATCTTTTAATTTA